ATATATTCGGCTTCCGAACAAAGAACACAACTTTCACATCACTGACCTCAAAAACCTCTTAATTACAATTTGTTAGGAATACTTACCAAATGTTTACGATAATGCGTTAGCCTTGTTAATCTCTAATACTTACGTGTCCATAAATAAACAATTTGCATAGCTATTCGTCCAGTGGAATGGCATCTACATTTATTCTGGGTGAATTAACGCCAGCTGTTTTAAAAGGCAATTTTCTCTTCTGGTTAAAAGTTCTTCATATATTATGAACAGTAGTGAATCAGGAAAATACCACATTCTGGCCACTAGATGAAGCTAAGGATCATAGGAAATAAATACAATGTAACAATTCTAGAGAACGCTGAAGGGAATTGGCAGACAAATGTAATTATTGCTACTACAGGGATCTCTGGATTGTGTTTTTGCCCGATGTGTTTTCCTTTTAAATGAATCGAAACGCATCAAAATGAATGCCAGCACACACTGTATGCATATCGATGCTTTACATGGCATGTTGATGTGCAAGGTAAAGGCATTGCAATGCATGTAGACATTTTGTTATGATGGAAACACATCAGGTAAACATTACAACAAAACATTAGGTGTGAATAGGCATTTAGGCTTTGGACAGTTTTATTTTTAACTGTGTGTTTTTGTTTTTTAAAGCCGTGCAGTACAGAGTTCAACCTGTAATTACAGAATGTTTGCACATGCTATAGATTTGTTTAGCTCTCATTGCTTATATTCAGTTATGATTTATCTTACATTTCTATGGTCATTGCACTTGGTGAATTAGTTTTTATGTTCTAACTTAAGGCAGGGATAGGCAACTTCAGCACTCCAGCTGATGTGAAACTACAAGTCCCATGAGACATTGTAAGACACTGAGAGCCACAGGCATACCTTGCAGAGGCATGGTGTGATATGTAGTTTTACCAGAACTGAAACACCGAGGCTGCCTACCCCTGCCCGAAGGAATGTTTTATCCCGCATGTCGGCTTGTGCTTCTCCCAAAATTAGTAGTGACACAGTGTGTTTATTAACCTTTCCTCTTCACCTTTCAGGGCTCGATGCAGTCATTTACTCCGTCTCCTGTGGACTGCCATCCATCAAGCATGATGTCTAATTCCCCAGTGCTGTCAGGAAGCTGCAGTAGTGGCATTTCTTCCCTGAGTCGGTGCAGCATTTCTGAGATGTCGGGTTTTGAGAGTCAGATCTTTGATCAAACAGTAACTACTTCCAGTTATGGCATATCAGAGGAGCCAACCAGAAAAGAAAACAAGACACCACCACCTTACAGCGTGTATGAACGGACTTTGAGGCGTCCTGTACCTGTACCTCAGTGTCTTTCCATTCCTGCACCTATTGATCCTCCAGCTTTACCACCCAAACCAGGCCCAGTACGTCCAACAAGCCTGGAGAATGGCAAAAGGACTGATCCACTGCCACGGCCAAGACCTTTCCCACGGAAAGTGTCACAGTTGTAACACAATTACGCTTTCCTTTTGCTGTGAATAAACTCTCTTTTTTTTTTTCCGCTAGAAAAATTACCCTCTAGAGGTCCTTTTGCTGAAGAGACAGCTGCGGAATGGGTATATACACTCAATGAAAGTGTGGGCACTTTAATTGTTTACTATTTGTTTCCCTTCATTAAGGAAGTAAAGCTTTTTGTTTTTTATTATTGTTTTGCACAATATTATAGTGGTAATAATTCAGGATTAACTTGACAAAAGGCACTTTTTGGTTGGATAGAAACAGAAAGCACAATACAGTCTGTTAGTATGCTCTGTTTCTGGATTACAAATTCATGAAATATCATGTTGATTTTTAACTGGGTTCTTTATTGTTTATATATATATATATAAAGCTTTTATTTGAAGAGTACATTTTTTGTGGGTTTAGTTTTTTTTAATTTGAGAAGATACTTGATGTTTTAACTTTTAAGTCAGCCAACAATTCCAAATTTGTTATACATGCTAACTTTAATTCTATAATATAGGTGTTAATTTAATGTCCCAGTTAATATATTGCTTTTTAGTTTTTTTTTTATAAACATAGCATTCTGTCTTTCATTTTCTTAAATTAATAAGGGATTTTAAATATGTATTATGTATATAGTTTTCTGATCAGTTGCGATAATTTATCTTCCATATTTTGTGAATTTTGTATATGCAGAGAAAATGTTGTTGCTTTATTAACACATGAGGGGGTGAGGTCTAATAATTGCATGCATTATGAGGTGATCCATTAGTCAGAGCAGGAAAAGCAGATTTCTAATGAATGCATGTTTTAATGCTGCCATCTTTGTGCTTGTAGGCTCCCTACAAGCTGTTTATTTTTACAAAATACTCATTTGTCTTTGTCTTATGGTAGATATGGCATGCAAGTTGCTTTAGTGGTTCAGTAATGCATAATATTTTCCCACATTGAACTTTGTTTAGCTTTGGATTTTTATTGATTGATAAAGTTCATACGTAATTCTAAACAATGGGTCAGATTTAGATTTATCAAGTATGACAGATTGTACTCCATAATTTTGCGCCAGGATTTCATGTGTTTTTGGCTTACTCTAAACCAGCAATATCCGTCTTCTCCACCACATACAGCCTAGGGTTTTGTGACAAAGTGATATTGATCGCTGATTGCAGAATATTTTCCACAGCGCTTTCTAAAACATGTAGGCTTTGCCATTTACAACTTTAATTCCAACCGCTATAGCAGATTTCTCATTATCTTTTTGAGAGGACTTTTTTTTTTTAGTTGAATGTACTTTTAAGATGGAAAGCAGCTCTTTGCTAAAGAAAATCCAAAATAGACTTGCGTTTTTGTGTGGACTGGAAAACCATCTACTAAATATTCATGTACAGTGTTTTGTCCACATATCCATGTTTTGTCATATCTGTTGTATTTACCACAGTGTCGATTAAGCTAAAGTGTAATATGCACAGGGTTTGCAAATCCTTTTTATAGAGCTGATAAATCTCCAGGAAATAAGTGCAGTGAAACGTAGGGGTTACATAAATTAAACTCTTAAGTAGTTTCCTAAAGTTGACATTGGACATAAGTGGACAATACAAAATGTGAACTCTGAGTGCAAATTGCAATAACCAATTGCAGCCATTCCAAATTTACCAGCCAGAACAGTATAGGATGAAAACTGCTTAGTTGCTATGAGTATACCACAGTATTCTCTTTTTATTTATGCAGCCTGACCCACCACAACTCCCCTGCTCTCCCAGACATATAAAGATGCATTGAAGTTTATGTGCAGTGCTATTACAACTTGCCTTAGTGCTGCGCTTAGCTCTTAGACTATTAGAAATAATTTTCTGGGTTTCTGTGCAAGGAAAAGACCCTTCATGCAGGGCTTGTTTTTTTTTTTTTTGCATGCCAGAGTAGCACAGTGGTAGTGGGTGCCACAATGTGTATTGGCTGGCACTGTTGGCGCTGCAGTGATCTAATGCCTGTATAGTTGCAACTGGAAAATCCTCTTGCCAGTAGAGGAGCAGTGTGGGACACAGAGCATATACAAAGGTAAGTGATTACTGGACACCAGTGCTGGATAAGTATTCCTAATATCACTGCTTCCAACCATGGGTCACTATTCTCCCCCCCCGCCCCCCACACTTTGACTTGTATATGTTTTCCAATGATACACTGACTGCCCCTTCACTCCTCCTTACCACCAATGCTGAGGCATTTTTATTTTTTCTCCCATCCATTGAGGGACACGGCATTATGTTAATACGGATTAAAATGCCACCTACAGAAGAAAGACACTAGGCGCAAAGAAAATGAAGTCCAGCCCCCACCTCACACACACATAAGTTACACTTTGTGTTCTTAGGAAAATGTATATATTTACTCATAGGCATATGCAAAGATTGTGCTGTTTTGTAATTCTCATAATTCTCAGTCACAACTGCCTGAATCAGTCAGACACATACCATACAGTGTCTGGTGCAGTTCTCAAACACTGAAACATTCAGCCAAAGTTTTTCCTCTTTAGCCACCATCCAGTGAATTTATATAAAAGGACAAGGATTTGTTTACAAGGAAACAATCAGACTAAAGTCCATTTTCCAAAATGATTCCAGGTGACCTTGCCCTTCGGAGAGGATTTTGTCACTAAATGGTGTACTGCTCCCGAGGTTGACTCTTCAGTGTCTCGTCTTAACAAGGCTTTGCTACTCCTATTGAAGAGGTTCTGTCCTTTAAGGACCCTACTGATCAGAAAATTAAAGTTTTTTCTCAATCCATATACTTCTCAGTGAGATTGGCCCTTCAACCTTTACTTGCCATCATTCATATTTTCCAGACGTTGGCAATTTAACTGACGTAAATCGTTAAGTAGGAATCAGGCGTCTGCTGGTGTTGATTTCTCACTTTGCTGATTGCATTGATCAGATGACCGTTGCATCAAAATGTATGTGTTGGTTGGTGGAATAACTGTGTAAGTAAAGTGTAAGTGTGTGTTGTAAAGTAGCCACCTCTCCAAGGTCACTCCCATGATGGACTGCTATCTCACTTTTAGTTTACTAAAGCATCTGTCTGTAATAGTCTATCACGGGAGCAAGATTGGAGCGGTGGCTACTTTAAACACACATAGGGACAAGGGGGAACAAAAGTAGCCACCCTCCAGAGGAAAGCACAGTGTCGGCATGAATTCAGAGGTGATTTGAGGATCTTCATTCAGCTGAGTGATACACAAATAAGCTACATTTTTTGTTAATAGTTAGGGTACTTGCATTTTTAAGATTTCACTCCTGAGTTTAGTGTCACTTTAGTGTGTCAATCAGGCTGCGGACCTTGGAATACTTTGGATGGATCCTGAACATTAAGAAGTTATCTTTGATATTCTGTCACATAGCTTAGAATATATGGGCCTTCTCCTAGATCTCCTTCAGGCCAAGGTCTTCCTGCCCCAGGAAAAGTTGATAAAACTTTAATCCAAACGTTGGTCTTCCCTGAGGAGCTGCATGCAAGTCTTGAGACTGATGGTATACACCTTCAAAGTGGTTCATTTTCATAGCATGGGATCTTTATCTCATAGTGGCACTTGTCTCCGGAAATTGTTGGAGGGCAGGTTTTGTGTTCCCTTACATTGGAAGATTGTCATGACAGATGCTTGTTTTTCGTGTTGGAGCAGAGATCTGAACCATCAATACTGTTCATTGTTGGTCTCCTGAGAAATTGAACCTTGCAATCAACATTCTGGAGTTGTGTGCAGTTTGCCTGTTACTTCATTGTGCCCTTCTTTTTTCCAGTCAACTGGTCCAGGTCCAATCCAACAAGGCCACACCTGTAGCTTACATCAATCATTAGGGGGGCACCAGGAGTGGTGTTGTGGCTACAGAATCAATCCTGTCTTGGATGCAGCTTCATGTTTCAGAAATTTCCGTGTTGCACATTTGCAGAGTGGAAAGCTGGCAGGCAGATTTTTTCTTCAGACCATGTCTGGACCCAAAATGGTCTCTCATTCCAAAGGTGTTCTGGGACATATGTCTGCATTGGGGGATGCCAGATATGGATCTTCTAGTGTCTCCGCTCAACAAGAAGCTGGACAGATTTGTTTCCAGGACGAGGGACCCAACAACACATGCAGCAGACTCGCAATATATGTCTGTCCTCCAGCAAATACCAAGCAAATTCAAACAGAATACCTTGTCTACTTCAAAGGATTAAAATGGACTGCATTCCAGTCATTCTCAAAGCTCAGCATTGGCCACACAGAGTGTTGTACTATGAGTTCCTTTGTTTTCAATCAGATGCTCTGTGGCCATATCTGTGATCTCAACGGCTGATCTTTCATTCTGCTTCTTGCTCACTGGCTTTTTATGGTCCGGCTGTTAAAACCCAGTTTCAGAGAGACAGAGGCATTGAGGATTCTGTTATCCCAACCATGCTTAAAGGGGATGAATTTACTTCCTGCATGACATCACAGGTGCCCTTTCAGTGAGCTGTGTTCTTTCCTCCGGCTGGAAGTAGAGCAATGTTTTGCCCTTAGCGCCATCATGGGGCAGGTGTCTGACCTGTCTGTTCCTCTTGCTATATTTTCAATAATTACTATCCCATTGTGGCCATCACTAAAGTAGGCTATACATGGTTATATTTTTTTGTTCTACCTACAGGCTGAAAAATATAGCAGATTTCTCCATCCACGTTGAACAGAATAAATCAACCGCTGTGAGCTTTGTATTCTGAGTTGTCAGCATTGTCTGTAAGGAGCCGCATTTAATTTTACACAAGGACAAGGGGTTTTTTTTTAGTCCCATGACCTCTTTTTGTTTAATTGGTCTCTGCCTTCCAACTTAATGAGGATATTGTGTCACCTTCATTTCCAGGCCTGGTTTACCCCAAGGAGATCTCTATTAATTGTTTGGATGTGATGAGAGCTATCAAGGTTTTCCTCTTGGCCACTGCTTTTTTTAAGCAGATTGAATCCCTGTTTGTTAATTCAGAGGGTTCTAAAAGATTAAATTAGACAGACTATTGTGCCAGCCTATGAGTTCCATGATAGTGCTTCATTTTCCACCTAAAGCCCACTCCACAAGAGCAGTGGGTACCTCTGGGCTTTTCAGGCCCCTGACTCAGATCTGTATTGCTGGGACCTAATCTTCTGTTCACATGGTTTCTTAGTGTTAAAGTTCATTTTATCGACATGCCTCTACAGATGCTAGTTTCAGAGGAAACGTTCTGCAATAAGCTGTTACTTTTCCTTGCTTTTGCCTTGTTTTTTGTTTTTTTTTCATGTTGGGCTGGCTCAGCTGTTTTCCATGTGCCCGCCCATCTGTTTGAACTGTTATTGGACCTCTGTTGGTTGCTTATTAT